CTCCCCCTGTAGAGTGGGCTCTGGAACACCCCGTGAGCCCAGCCCCATGGTGCAGCCATCGGAGTCAGGAGTTTGAGGGCTGGCGAGGGGTGGACAGACAGTGTGGGATGCAAGGGGATGCAGGACGGAGGGACAATGGCCAGGCAGGGCTGTCAGCAGGACCAGTCCCCCGCCTCCTGCTGGCCTGGAGGGCGGGGCCTGAGTGGAAGCAGAGGCGGGCCGTGGGGGTGGGGCTCCTGGCTACCCTAATTCACTCATTCACTCGGTCGTCCGTTCATTCCTGGAACACTGCGAGTCATCTGGCTCCTGCAGAATTGCAGTGGTGGGGGTGACCCAACAAGCCCTGCAGGGAGGACGGCAATTACTGGAATCTGGCTGGCCTCGGGGATGCGGCGTCCACATCCCTCACGGGTCCTGTCCTGCAGCCCCAGCCACTAGGCTGGCCCAGACCCTCAGTGGTGATGGTGCCTGGGGCGACCGGCCCCCAACGTGTGGGCCTGGCACTCTGTCCACGCGCTTTGTGGGATCTTGGTAAGCGTGTGAGGGTCTGCAAAACAGACAAGGCAAGGCTGCCGTGGGGCCTGAACCCTTGCCAGCTGGTCAGGGCCTGATGTGGAGGGCGTGTCAGCCAGGTGGCCCCTCAACGCCCTGGGGCGTGGGTCCTGGAGCGTGGGCTCAGGGGCTGCAAGGATAGCCAGGTCTAGAGATGGCCCAGCATGGTCTGCAGGAGGGGCTCAGGCTGGCCCAAGGGCGCCCCCTGGAGGCTGCAAGGCCCAATGTCTAGGGCACAGCCACAGCAGTCAAGGGAGTGCGATCCTGGGGGTGCAAGTCCAGGAAGTGCTGGGTGCTGGGGGAGTGTGGGGTCCGGGGAACACAGGGTCCAGGGAGTGCAGGGTCTGGGGAGCTCCAGGTGCTGGAGGAGCATGGGGTCCAGGGAGTGGAGGCCGCAGGGAGCCAGTGCCAGGGCATATTTTCCTGTCCACACACAGGCAGCTCCCACCCCGCAGGCACACCCCAACACATGCACCCCTGCCCCTGAGCACACTCCCAGGGAAGGCCTCGGCTCAGGCAGAAACCTCTCCTTTTGGGTTCGGATCCCTATATAGGGATGGCCAGTTCGCTCACTGGCTGAGCGTGGTGCTGACAACACCAAGTCAAGGGTTAAGATCCCCTTACCAGTCATCTCTAAAAAAAAAAAAAAAAAAAAAAAAAAAACCCC